TMGWTTWWTTAAAGACCTCGTTGATTTTTTTTGTTAGTTTTGAGGTACAATTTGAACGTAGTTGCACCATATGTCCAATCATTGTAAGAATTCTCAAATTCTTGCGCGAAAACACTGAAGAAATGTCGTATATTGTGATAGGCGTGGTTTATGCGGAAAATTAACAAAAGAAATTATTGTAAATTATTGCAGTAGATTCTTCGAGATGTCGGTTAATCAATGTCATATTCTGACGGGTTAAATCATTTTCAGGTTTATATTTGGTGATAGCTTTCGACTCGCGAGTGCTTCTGAAACAGTCGGTTGAATTGTTAACAGTACACAATTTTTAAATGCGTGAAATGTACTTCCTTGAAGCTTTCATTTTAAACAAAACATCCAAAAATGACAGCTTGAATGAAAAGCTTGTACCTCATCTCCACTGAATTCATTTGATGGACTAAAGGTGTTTTTTGAACTTTCAAGAGTAGGGTGCAAACATTGAGGATACGTAGAACCGTCTGTTTGCGCCTCTTAATGCAAGAACCCCTCACTTGAGCTACTTAGGAGTAAACAATATTGGTGTTCTGTTAAGACAAAGACACAAACTCAGATTATTTGTCAGAAAATCCCTATAGTTGAAGGACAGAAATGAAGACGGATAAATTTATTGTTCCTCAGGGTAACATGCAGCCAGAAAATTCTTGAAATTAACCCCCTAGCGGCGTTTATGCGTCATTGAAGAATAATGACGATTAAAATAATAAAAATGACAATTGAAAATTATGTTGGTGATGACCAGAACTTGAATAAGCTAAGTCGCAGTACGTGAATATTTAAAAATTCAGCCAACATTTTTTTTAAGTTTGCTATTATCCAGCTTTTTCAATATTTTATGTCCTTGTTTGTTCATGATTTATCATTGCCTCTTTTGTGTTTCTCTTTCGATATGTGCATGGTTTATTATCCCATTATGCTCCTCATATTTTCAGAGAGTTGCAAATGTACTTCAAGGTACGGACATCTCGTCTAATCTTCATCAGTTTCCACTATGCCGAAAAAAAAACACTTTGTAACCTCCTTAAATCAAGAGGTACGTCCATAGCATGATATATTGCGCCAAAAGCATGAGTCAAGCTTAATTTCTTATTTTTCCAAACGTTAAGCGGTAAAAGGAAAAATTTAAGCCTATTTTTCCACGACTCTTGCACAATTTTCCGATCGGGCTAGTCAAAATTCACTATACTTTCGTTTTATGCCAAATCACACAAACACTTAAAGGATGACTCATGAACATCATGAAGTTGTTCAAAAGAGAAACACTGATGAGTTAGAGAATGCTTGATATACCTCTCAGCAACATCCGACTTTTAAATTTAAAAATAGCATTGTGTAAGGAACGGCTGTTTTTACTATGTTCTAGGATATAAAAAAGAGTGATAAGTTCACTACAGCGATATCACCGCAAATGTCTGAACTTTTAGCTTTAGAGCTGATAAAAACATCATTGGACATCTTCCGCAATCAACGATGCCAAATATGCTTATTTCCACTTTCAACACGTATAAAACTTTGAAAAATTTAAATTTAAATGTCAAAGAATTAACAAACGACCAGCAGAAGTTTTTCGCTTCAGTCCACGTCTTTTAGCTTTGCGCAATTTTTTTTTCCATGACTTCTAATTGCAGAGGAGACAAAAATTTTATTTTTCAGATTCTTTTTCTTGTTTTTACGAGAAAGTGGTTCTTTATTTCACCACCAGAGATATTTTTTACCAGGGGCGTCGAATGAGTTTGTCCACAGGTAGCAGATGTTCCCAACTCGGTCGCCATGGCAAAACTTCAATTTGGAAATATTTCGAAATACGGTCAAGAATTGAAGCCCTGATTCGCAAAGTCTGGTTGATAATTTGACATAGCACTATTGTTTGGATCAACTTCGAAGTTATAATGATTGGGACAAAGAAACAGTATGCTACGCGACCGTATACCTTCTCCACACGTCAATAACCTGCTGAAATTGTTAAAAATTAAATTTGCGAATTGGAACACCTGCTGTATTCATTGATAGCATTCCCACAAGAAAGGAGTTGACGCTACCCTATACATGCGGGAATCTGGTCTACGATTATCAAGATTTAATGCAGTCCTTCTTTTCTCAGTCTGCAGCTGTTGTATAGGTAACTGTGTTCCGATTTCTCGACTTCTTGTCGTTTTCTGTTTCTGACCCACGTTTCTGTTGTCAAGGGAAGACCTTAGGTCAACCCATCATTTTAAAAAGGTTTTGTGAGATATTGTGTGAATGACATCAGCAAAATTGGAGTGAAACTATAAACGTAAGTTTGGAGTGCGGATATATGGTATAAAAATTATTCGCCGATTCGCCCCTAAGGCAATACTAGTAAGGTTATACCTAACGAAATTTTGCTTTTGAACACTTCAAAGAAAAGAAGACACACAAAGTTGTTAAGGACAGAACGCCCGGCGACAGGTGTTTGGCGATATCTGAGTCAAATTTAGTTCCCAGTTATGCTTCCCCGTTGAAGATGATAGATTGTCAGTAAACGTCAGTTTATTTTGAATAATTAGACTGAGCCATATGAAAATTTGTGCATCACTGTTGTGCCATGAATTAGCTTCAGCTATCTCAGTGAAAGTCAACTGTTAAACGGTGAATTTGGACCTCCTTTGGAGCTCTTTAGTAAATTCCAAAATCGTGGTAAGTATTTGTTACGCCGGTGTAGTTTCAATAACTATTTCACATGACTTTGAGACGACAAAACGTATTAATTCTACAGAATTATAAAATTACTCGCGGAGACGTGACAGTGAAAACTGAGATGTTCGGTGTATTATTTTGAACCACACGATGAGGCACAAAGGAATATTTTTCTCCAAATTTAACATTTTCGCTCAGAAGATTTATCTATTGAGATTCAGCGTAACTCCCTATTACATTCTTCAGATTTTCTCTTTTTCCTGGCTTAAGCAAATTAACCTCGTTCGTTTTCTCGGCCACGCTAGTAAAATAACATCGAGAAGTTATAGTACATCGAGAATTTAACGCACTTACAAGTAAGTTTGTGCCGTTAATTGTGACTTTTTAGGAAGTTCTAAATTTGGTTTTCATTTCCCAGTCAAGGTCATGAAGTTCAATGAAAAAGGCTACTACAGTTAGCAAAACACGCACATGAAAAACACGGAAGTACATGTAAACGTTATGTTGAACTCCTGGATACTAAGTGCTCTGTGATTGGTTGTTATAAGTGATCGATCACAGTAAAGACGCAATGGCCGAAGTCCAAAGAAAATTGTTTGCTTTGTTTTGTTCAAAAGGGCATACATTTTAAAGACACGTTTGTGGGATTTTTTAGATTAAGTTAATGAAAATTATGAAATGAGAAAGTGTTCCCGTTGACTAGAACAAGTCTTCGAGCTGTTAACTGTCACATCAGACTAGTTGCCGAGTGTTTTTTCAGTTAAGGATCAGAAAAGAGGTCGAAATGTGGTTAAAGCAATGTCGCTCTTGCCTGAGGCTCGTGTGCAACTTTTGGTTTTAATGAACCAAAGAAAAAGTCTATTTATAACATGGGTTGTGCTACAATAAGTATGAAGTTCATCACGAAAACTCATAAAGAACGTCAAGAATATTGAACTTTATTCAAATTCCACTTTTACGCCAGTTTACCATATTAGGGCAGCGGTCGCGCAAAATAAATGTTTCTTAGTAGACATTTTGTTGCGTAGTATCGCTGAGTATTTTTATGAGTTGTGCCGTATTTTGACGAGCCCGTAGGGCAAGTCAAAATACAAACAACGAGTAAAAGTACTCAGCGATACTACACAATGAAACTTCTAATAAGAGATTTATTATCCAACACGCCAAATTGTTATTTCAGTGCGGGCGAATTTCGCGGATATTTCTGGAGTACAAATATCGCGTGATATTTGTACTCGTCTCGCGCGTTATTTGTACTTCACAACGCACAGTTGGATAATAAGCCATGATATACTGAAGAACAGGGCAAAAATACCAGGCCTCAGTGAACGATCCAAATTTTGATTTTCTCCCATTTTTTAGGCTTATCTGATCGAGTAAAGAACTTTTGTTTGCTTGTTTGTTTGTTTGTTTTTTTTCGTCTCCTATGCGATTGATGCGATGCTTATTCTTGCTAGGCCGCAGGAAGTATTCGGAAAAATTGGAATCAAATACAAGAAAATGAAACTACAGTGGGACGATAAATCCGTTATTTGATTATTTAACCGATAATATGAGCCGAAATGTTGCTCATTGCTTGTAAAATACAAAGCAACTCTCAAAATATCGGCGCGTATTAACTGTTAAACCATCTATCAAGTGTATACATGTATTGTACTTTTTGCCCATACGGATGGTTGATATGGACAGCTAGAGACCTCTACAAACAACAATCGAGTCGCTCAGCTAAGTTTACGAGTGTTTTACGAGTAACTCAAGCAAAATTTCAAAATGAGGATTATCGTAATTGACAAAAAAAAACGCTATTTCGGTTGTAATTTAACATACCATTTGTATTCCTGAGTTTAGAGCTATTACTGCAATCAAACAAGCTGAGTAACTTTTTTTCTTCGTACTGAGTCTTTCAGTGTTGAAACAATTATTCAATTTATTTTTTATTGAACAATAAAATGAGTGTAAAGAAAGTTAGAGAGGTAGGGGAGGAGTATCTTGGAGGGTAAGGGAGTGAAATCTAAGATTTACTCGCCGGAAGTTTCCAATAACTGCGTAAAAGAAATCGGCGACTGCCTATGGCAGAAGAACAATCTTACGAGCGGCAATCGATGAACAACGATTGCGAACGTGTGCATTGAAAAGTAAATGAATTGTAAATTATAAGCTTGAAGAAAAAGAAAGAGGGAGAGTTTTTTTTTTTGTCCTTTTCTTTACTTTAGCATAAATAAACCGCAAGATTTTGGAATAATATTATTTCTAACAAGCCAGATGTTTAATGCACCCACGCTCCGATGTCTATTTTAAAATTTAGTATCATTCAACTTATTTACGTCTGAAATCACCTGCTTGAATAATTGCCGTCAGAGGCAAAAACAACCTCTATCCAACTGGATAAACGAATTCAATATTAATAATTTGATACAAGGAAAGAAGCCGGAAATAGAAAAACACGCGGTTACTTTCGAGTGCTTTATTCTGTTGGCAATTAAAATCAACGTGTTTTGATTATATTTATTTTCATAACAGAAGGTTGTACTGGGAGAATACAGTACAGAATGCTATTTATCCCCAAGAGACGTGATTGAATTGCTAGCTGGCCTTTCTGTACAATTTTCAGCTATTGAGGTACGAGTAATTAGCGGTCCACCAGTAATAAGTGTTTATGGTAAAAACATGAAGGTCCTGTGACGGTGTCATCGGTGCCGCATTGCCTTTTGGGGGAAAGAGAGTTGCTAAGGGTTGCTAACTGAATTTATTTTTCCCGGTGAACCTGGAATGACATCCCGAAACATGCCTTGGAAAAAGAACCAATCGAAAGTATTACCGAGGTTTTCTTCCTCGGCTATTCATCTCTCATAGCTTTGCATTTCCCTACAGAATTTCCGCCGCGCAGAGAGAGGATTCCTTGAGGAGTTTTGCCGTTGTAGCGGTTGACGACATCTCGTCGAGTGGATTGGAAATATTATCGGCTTTTACTCACACCATGATCTGTCCGCTTCAAGTACATCCCGTTTGTGGATTGTCTTCGCGTACTCTCGCATTTTTGGCGGGGGAATAATGGTTGTTTTAGCACTGTAGTGATATCGCCAACTGCCAACCATTTAGCGTCGAGGAAACAGAAATAAACAGCGACTGGGATACCTTTCCTTATAGGAACGGTCGAAAAGAAATTATAATCCTGGTGGATTTATCCTGTGTTTACATTCTACAAAACCGAAAATATGGCACTAAGGCTTCAAAGATCGTTTATATGGCAACGGTTTCAGAGACCGCGAACGCTGTGCCCTCATGTTTTTTTAGTGACCTCCGTATTGCTGTGCGGCGCGGTAAACTTCCTTGCTGAGTTCGACGTCAAGACATCGTCTTTAATGGCTGGTGGCGACAGAACTGTTCGCAAACAGCGATTACTCTTAAGTGTCAATGAAAGCAGTTCGGATACGAAGGGAGAATATCCTCCTGATCTTTTCACTGTGGAAGAGAAAAGAAAAGGAGCTGTAATTTTGCACATAATTGGTATGTGTTACATGTTCTTGGCGTTGTCAATCGCTTGCGATGAATTTTTCATCCCTGCGTTAGCTGTCATCACCGAAAAGTTAAACATTTCGGAGGATGTTGCAGGTGCTACGTTTATGGCTGCTGGCGGTAGTATGCCAGAACTTTGTACATCGTTCATTGGGGTTTTCGTTGCGCCTAACTCTAATGTTGGCTTTGGAACTATAGTAGGATCTGCAGTTTTCAACGTCTTGTTTGTGATAGGGATGTGTGCGGTGTTCTCAAAGGAGCTCTTAAAATTAACATGGTGGCCTCTGTTTCGCGACTGTATGTTCTACAGTGTAGCTCTGATCATATTGATAGCATTCTTCTCGAACGGAATGATTGAATGGTGGGAATCATTGGTAATGATTATGGTTTATTTATTATACGTGACATTTATGAAATTCAACCACAGAATAGAGAAATTAGTGAAAAGTATGCTTAAATCGAACAAAGTGAGCTCTCTGAACTCAAAAGGAGCCGAAGTCGGTTCACAAGATTCTTCTCTTGAGGTGAGTGAATTCATTTTTAGCCGTAAGTCTCAAGGAAATGAATATTTTGGCCCCATTTGAAAGCCTGTTATATGTCAATGGGGGTTTTAATTGAAACCCTCTGATGCTAAGTTCATTTCAAGAAGCGATATGAAAGAGGAGCTGTATGCGATAATTTTCAGATGAAATCAGCGCTTTAAAATAAACACGAAACGAAAATTTAAACATCGTGGGAAACTATTTCGTCAGGTCATTTTGATAGTAATTTTTGCACCTCTTTTATTTTCATACGGCATTCATTTGAATCTTGAATTAAGCTTAAATCTTAGCGTAGGTCGCACTTCGAATCATTGCACCTAACGGACAACATGTGGTGTGTTAAAAGGCAAATTGTTTCTCATCTGCATGGAAGGGAATTTTAAAATTGTACAGTTTTATATGTTACATAAGAAAACTCTATCGAGCGAAACTCTTTTGTTCAATTACTACTACCCCATGGCTATTTCAGGTGTTTTTAATATTAAACAAAAATATTCATTTTACAGAATTCAATCTGGTACACTTAATTAATGACGTGATAATTGTTACCTCAGAGATTTAATTTCACTGAGACATTTACACTTTTAACTAATTTTTTTACAGCTTTCACGATTTTCTTTTTGGAAAAAATTGTGTAACTACTGTTAGTGACCATATTTTTGATAAATTGATCGATACTTCTGTGCTTAATCTCTACAGTTACAAAAATGGCTGAGTTTTATGATATCACTTTCAGCATGTAAACAAAGATTTTATGTTTTATCTTCAGATTATCCATTTGTAAACACTTAAGGGTCTAGAATGTTTAATAGAGGAGATTGTAGATGAGATTTGGGAATATGGAATAGGCGTAGGAGGTTCACAGGCCCCTCCAATGAGCTTATTGCGGGTTCATCTTGAACTTTTGGAATTTTCTTGTCTAGCAAGTCTTGCTGATCCTGTTAATATCTTGCAATCCTCTTTGACTTAATCAGCTAAGAATTTCAAACTAAGTAAATACCGAGGCAAAACTAATCAGACAAAAACCTCTCCAGGTTTGTTAAAATCCCTTTGAGAGGCAAAGGACTCGAGTCATTGTAATTTGGTTTGGGATGTGATAGTGTTAAAATAATCTGAACTTCCCTTGTCTGACAAATGCTTTCTTCCATAATGGGGGAAGAAAGACTTACAGTTCTCTTTTATACTTGCATGATTATGTTCACTGGCAACAGTAAGGTTTGTCTAGACATTCATATAGTACTCTTTTCTCATTTGTCCTCCAAACTGAGGTAAAAACCATAAATCCCTTGTGAGAGGAGACCTGTTTTGAACTTAACTTAGGTTATGTGCCTTCCTTCCACTCATTTGTATTATTTGGTCTTGTTCTGTTTACGTTTCCACTTTGGCTCTTCATTTGAATTTCAAATGAAAGCTTTTGCTAATTAGATTTAGGAGTCAGCTACATGTCATTGAAATGGGATCTGTGTTGGCTTGTTTTAAAATGTGGAGTACACTTTTTATTAGTTTTATTTCTGAAGGATTATGAGCTTTTTTTTGTTGTATGTTCACAAATATCTCCTGATAACTTTGGATTTAGATAGAATTTGCCAGAAAATTTGTGTTTTCCTTTCCCAAAATCATAAGTCTATTTTAACAATAAATGATCAAAGCTTCTTTGCAAGAGCTTTGACTTTGAAGCTTTGACTTAGACAAGCCTTTTTTGTTTTCTTTTGTCTTTCTTTTTTAATAAACCTAGTTATGAAAAGATATTGCACTTTAAACAATCCCAGGTGTAAAGTAAAATTCATGAAGTGCTTATGTTATTTGATTTTTCCAGAAAATTAACAGGAAATCAAGCTATGAACTTTCTTGTTTAATAGACTCAAGCTGTTGAATGTTGCTAGTAGGGCTTTGAGGTTCATAAGAGTAAGGAGTGCTTTATTATTAGATAATCATTATCATGTCAGATAATGAAATTATGCTTTGAAGCAAATTAGAATTTTCCACTCAGATGTTAGTTTTTTTTATATCATCTATCTTAAGGTGTCTGTTTTACAGGGAGAGTTCCCTCTATTTTTTACTTTCTTTCTCTAAGATGAAAAGAAGCAACCTTACTTTTGACAATATTACTACTTGACACAAAATTTCTTTTTAAGTAAAGGTTGTCAGATCCCCAAGGTTGAATTTTGAAAAAACCACTGTCTTAACAAAGATCTACTCAAGCCATTTGAGGCCAGTTCTCAAAAAAGGGAAAATATTCTGAACTGATTTTGTGAATTAGCTTCAAATTCATTAAAACATAGTTCGAATGATTCTCACAAAATATATTTTCAACTCAATAGAAGGCAGTGGAAAGTCTTTGCACAACATCCAAGGAGAGTAATAGTCTTCCCTGTTTCCGCCATGGAGCTCTTCAGCTTGTTATTCATACAATAGATCCTCTTGGAGAAGGTAACTTTTTTTTATTATTACTTTTCTGTACCAAGAGTGGATCAGGGCAAAGGGAGTACTATTGCAACATCTACTTTTCCCTTTATTTCACAGAACAGTCTGTTGTACACTGTTCACATAATTCAATTAAGGTTTATTGTAAACATTTCTTCAATTTCATTGAACCCTTTCCACTCTAACATCAGTATGCATATTCTCAATACTGTTCTCTATACATTTCCAAGGGTGCTGACAAGGAGAATTTGTTTAAAAATCAAGAGCTTTGTTTCCTTTACTCTTGTGACTGTAATCTTTGATTTAGGGATGTTAAAGTAAGGAGAAATGAGATGCTGATCACGTGAAGATGTCAAAGGGTTGAAATAATTGTCAAATTGATTGATTTTTATTAAATTTTCAATGTTTTTTTTTCTCTTTTGCTTTTAACAGCATCTGTTGCGGTGAAAGTCAACAAACTGAAGAAACTCAAATGTGTGAAAGTCAAAGTTGGCGTGGAGAGAGACTCATCTACTTTTCCTTCAACTCAAGATGTGAATAAATTCTCCACTGTGGACAATCTTAAACAACTGAATTTTCCAGTCGTAAATAGTTCCATGAATGTACAAATGGACTCAGCTCCAGCGTCATCATTTGTCAACCACACAGTTAATCTTGATAGCTATACTGCTTTTGATGGACAGAAAAGAGACTCATCATATCAGATTAAAAGTGTAGATGTAACATCAAGGAATTCTAGTTTGGTCAATGGGGATTCCAGTCTTCCTCTTGTGCAAATTGTCCCTGATGAAAATCATGTACCTGGTAGGGTGCCTGACACAAATGAACATAGTAGTAATGTGTATAGAACTTCAACAGAGTCTCCAAGCTCAGAGACAACAGGGTTACAGCTTTCTTCACATCAGCAATTAGTAGACATTGAGAGTGCCAGAGAGGCTGCCGTAAGTATCTTGACATTTCTTTGTTCATATTCTGCATTTCTTTTGAAAAATAAAAAAAAAAAATAAAAAACTGAAACAAGGTGTTTTACTGTGTGAAGGTTATGACCTAGCTATAGCCCATCTTAAATTGATCACTTTGGTACAGATGAGAAAAATTAAATCAAGGGTCAATTAATTTTATTTTATAGCTTAGGCTTGTGGCCAATATAAGATATTGCATTCTGTTCACTTTCTGTATTTGTCAAGATAGGTAAGGACAAGACTGCAATAGTTTCTCTCATTCTTAAATATTAATCTAATATCCTTTCATTGCTGTATGTGTTTGTTGCCTAACAAATGATTTCTTCTCTTTAAAGCTGGATGATGAGAGTGAACCAATAGATTTAAGCTGGCCTTCAGGGTGGAAAGATAGAATAGTGTATGTTATCAGAGCGCCAGTTGTGTTCTGCATGTATTACACAGTTCAGGATATCAAAAGACCAGTAAGTAACTAGTAATGTATTTGTAATACATTCCCAAATTCCCCAAATTGCAAAGGGAGAATAAATGATTGTTATTCCCCTGGTCTCCTTTTGCAGAAAGCTTGACCTTGCCCTTATTATAGCAATGTTCTGAAGCCACAAGTACAGCTGCAGTCCCATGATGCATTTGCAAGGTTGTGGCTAAGCGCTGGCAGTCGGCGAAATTTGCAGGCCTTTTCCTTAGCTACAACCCTGTCTGTTATATTAGTAATAATTGATTTCTTGTGCATAGTGTGAAAGATTAAACTTTTAATTGTATTTTTAGGGCAAAAGGTATTTGTATCTTTGGTGTTTTATTTGGTCCATGCTTTGGATTGTTGGGTTTTCTTATTTAATGGTTTGGTGGGCAACTGAAGTTGGCAATACTCTTGGAATTGAAACAGAGGTAAGAGAATAATAATTTTATCTTTTTCGTTCCCAACATCTCATTTGTATTTCTCCCTACTGTTGTCTGCCATAAAAATTTCCTGCTGAGTCTGCCTCTTCCTTGCCATCCAGACCCTCCCATCCGTTATCAACAGCATTTTCTCTTACTCCAGCAAACATCTAAATACAAGCAACAAAGCTCCCAAAGGGTCAGGGTGGAAATGGCTGATGTAATTAGTAAATCTCCTTACTTTCTGCTATACAATTCTTATGATGTTAGTTTGGAGAAATCAGTGTTGGATCAACTAATAATCCTCTTTGTTCTCATCTCTTGTCTGCTTGGGAGAAAGGAGAAATTCTGTCTTGGTCACTCCTGCAATCTAAGGGTTAAATATTCAACAGAGTAAAGTAGGATCTGTGCTTTAATTGAACTGTCTACAAAAGAGCAGGAAATGAGATTTTTGTGAACAAGCTTTGCTTGTTACTGTTGGTTACAAATCTTTTTTGTAGCTAATAGATGTTTTTCTTTGGCTTGCCTTACTCAGTGAAGTCGTGAGTTTTTAATAAGACAGTCTTGCTCTTTGCTTTTCTAGATAATGGGATTAACATTCTTAGCAGCAGGGACCAGTATACCTGATCTGATTACCAGTGTTTTAGTGGCAAGGAAAGGCTTTGGTGATATGGCTGTGTCCAGTTCTATAGGCAGCAATTTGTTTGATGTCACAATAGGGTAAGAGGAACAAAATTAATTGGCTTGGTTTAAAACATCATATGACCAAAAATAGAAACCAGACATCTAAAAAGCCATCTTGTCTTAACTCTTTGAATCCTACCATCAGTATGTGTATTTTCATTACTGTTATCTATTACATTTCCATTTTTCCTGATGAGAAGCTGTTGTTTAACAATAAAAAATTAAGAGCTTTTCCAGTTGGCAGTCACCTTGGCAAGCTGTTGGGAATCAGCCAAAGGTGACCACGACTGCTTAATTAAACAGAGGTGAAAATTACAGTATTTAAGGGGTAAAAAGTGAGGGACTGAAAACTGACCACTTAATGCAGGATGACAGCTTAATGTACTGCTACATGTTACAGGTTTGACTGTATTGACATATTCAACATTCAGAATCCATTTTTCCACTTAGGCTTCCTCTGCCATGGTTGATTTACAGTGCTATAAATGTAGGAAAGGCCATGGTTGTCAACAGCTCCGGTCTCTTCTGTTCCGTGTTTTTGCTCTTCATCATGTTGATAGCTGTAGTTATTGCAATTGCTGTCAGTAAGTGGAGATTGTCCAAACTGCTGGGTGGTGCCATGTTTCAGCTCTATGTTGTTTTCCTAGTCATATCATTGTTGTTGTTAAAGGATGTCATTAAATGCCCAGAGCTCTAAAGGTAATTAGTCCTGATTTTGCTAAATTGATATTGCATAAATTTAAGTCCCAGTTAAGTAAGCCAGGACTGTTTACTGGACATCATGGAGTATTTATTTCCCCTTGCCTATCAACACCCAGTAATTGTGCAGGGAAGGGGAAAATAATTTTTGTCCAAGTTACATTTATATGACTTTGTAGTATTCTTTGCATCCTGGCAAAAATGTCAGGGGAGGAGTGGAGTTTATATTAATACTCTTTTCACACCAGGACCTCATTATCAATTCTCGTGACTGTCTGCCATACATTTCCTATGCTCCAAGCTCTGAGAATTTGAAGTGAAAATAAACATTGTTGATTTTTTGCTTTCTTCTCGTAACCTATTTGCTTGGCAATGTAGAGATGTTTAAAAGAGAAATGATTTATTCATCACCCTTGATTGAAAGCGTTAACCTTCTAGAAGGCATAAGAATTGTTTAGCCTCTTCAGCTTTGAGAATACCTCTTGGTAAGATGGTCAAACTAGATTTGACGTCATCAATGACTACTTTGTTTGTTTTTGTTGCAGACTAAATTTTTTAAAGAGGGATTCTACATTCACATTTTCTCCACACTTCTGACTGGCTTTCATAAGCAACCTTTCACATCAGTGCAGGAGGCAGATATCTGCACTAAAATCTTGTTGTACCATTGTTACTCTCACTAACATAGAACAAATAAGTCTGGTATCCATGTAGATGTATTTATATTTTAGAATATTTACAGGTACTTTATGAAATAGCATTCACTGTTTTTTGTACAAAAAAATTTGTATCTCTCTGTACAGAATGATATGCATGCGTGTATTTTCTTATTTATTTAATGAAATGGTGACCATCCAAGTTGTTTTTGTCATTCATTTTCTAGCCAACTCATATTTTCTGTGTTTTCTTAAACTTTGAAGAATGTCACCTTAAGACGTGGTCAAACCTTACCACTTGTTCCAGAATTGTCTATATGTTCCAAGATGACACCAATTACAAATGAAAAGAAAGAAGCAAGTCACAATTTGTAATTTGCAAGAAAAAAGTCAGTGATATGAATTTACTGAATTCAACCTTTTCAGCCTGTAGAGAGTCAGTTGTAAAAGAGTTCATAGCATTCCAAATCACTGACTGGCATTTTGGATTGTGTAAAAGATACTGTCATTTTTCTCCCTTTATGACCTCACAACTTGTCCATTTGAAATAGTGCAGAAGAAAACCTGGGTTAAAACTCTTCTCTTATGAAGGGAGACAAATTCCCTGTAAAGAATGAATAATTATTTATTGATCACTTTTTAAGATGGAGAAAAAAAAGTTTTTGCAAGCTGTAATGTAGTGTACATAAATTAAGAAAAAAATTTATAGTTACAGTCAAACTATTTATTTGTGATTCTGATCACTAGTGTTGTTAGTAGGTGGTCATTGAGAGTAGAACTTCATCAATCAAGAATATAAAATAATTGGATTGTGATTCCAAACCTTATTTAAGACTTGAATTGATTGAAGATTAATTGAATTAGAATTTATAGATTCAGAAATAAACAACCCACTTGCAACAGAATAGATGTTCTCTTTAAGTTGTATTTTGTGGGAGTCTCAGGGGCCTCTCTCTCTCTTTTGCACTGGGTTCCAAATTAAGAGGTTCTTTCTTGGGATCCTACTCAGAAGGATTGTTGTATTCTGTTCTTGGACAAGTTACTTTACTCTCACCATGCCTCTCTCTCCCCAGGATTATAAATGGTTGGGGGGTGTGGAAGGGGGTACCCTGACTAGCATCCCATCTAGGGGGGAGAGAACGGTTACTACACGTGCTGTTAACGCTGAGAGAAACGGGAGAGAACGGTTACTACACGTGCTGTTAACGCTGAGAGAAACGGGAGAGAACGGTTACTACACGTGCTGACGCGGGTTAGGGTCTCATAGCATGTAGTTCTCTGCATTATGGGACTCGTTACCCAACAGCAGTCCTTGCACACCCCGACTGTTCAGGTGCCCCGTTAGGCGGGGAGCGCTTCCGGGGGGCCAGGTTCGATTCCTGGGCGATTTTGGCGTACTGGTGTACCCTCCTTCAGGCGTTACTCGGCGGAACCATTGCACTCCGGTTCCGTTAAGTATATATGTCGTCCGGCCGTTGCAGCACTGACCATTGCACTAAAGGGTCCGTGGCCGGGGGCGCCTGAAAAACAAAAAAAAAA